CTCATCAGGGGATACAATACCCAACGAGTGGGTGTTATTGCTGTAATTTAGAGTACTTCTGGTGTAGTTCTTTACTTTGTACGGAGTATCTACACTATCATCTGTTTTATTTGTTTACTAAAACGCTCAAATTAGACTTTAATCCATTGTGAATTATAAGAAAAATTATGCTTATTTAAGTTAAAAAATTCAAATAATTTCATTTACCGTTCGCAATGGGAATTGCCAATTCCAGCATGAAGAGTAGAAGAAGGATCCAAAATACAGCCGGATGGTCATTTCTAAGAGTTTGAATAAACCGCATAAGCAGTCGAGGCATGCTGATACGAAGTTTTTTTTCAAAACACAGGGACGCAGATTACAGGCATTGTCCATTTTATTTACGTTCGACTCTATGGCCGAAAAAGTGTCATTTGATTGGCTTACAGACTCGCATCTATTTCATTGGATTGATCCAGACCAGTAGTATGTTTACCAACTTGTTTGAGCAGGGCGAGTCTCTTTGACTCATTTGTTCAGTCGACATAAACTAAGCACGATCAGACAAATGATTTTATGCGGAAAAGTTAGTTAAAAAGCCCTTAAACATGACCGGAGTGTAAGTGAGTAAATGGAAACGAGCTGTTTATAAACCCCTTTACACTGACCAACACGATAAGAGGGATTCAATCGGTCAAAACCAGCTACAACATGAAAGGCTTTGGCGACACATTATTGAGAAAACACGTCCTATGCTACTCACATAGATCAACTGCTGGGGATTAGGTTGCGCTTGTTTAGGTACTGTTATTTTGTCCCCTAGAAGTGCACTGGTGCACAAATGTGAATATACATTAGGTTAGCAAAAACAGTTGGCAGAATTTTGGCTGGAAGAACATTCATTCACGGGAGTGTCTTCGGAAAATACGGAAACAAAAGTCAATTGCATTACATGAAAGACCAATGAAAGGTAGTTTTGACGTACAGTAGACGTGTTGTCTCATGAAATGTTAACCAAAAGCCCGAAATATGTCTTCGACTGAGGAGATTGCTTAGGTGGGACCGTAAGACTGACTGAGGCGCAGCGTAGTAACAAGATATTTCAGTCACTTCAGGAGGCCGGCTATTAAACGAGCACTTTCCTATCGCGTGTGAAACCCACGATGTTTAAAAACGACCACTTGAATAATATGGATTATTCAAGTTGATTTTCGATGAACTTATCTAATTGAATACACTCTACAGAAAGCGTGCGCTAAAGATTTTTTCACTAGGTCTGTAGCAACTTACGTTTCAGCTAAATTTTGCATATGAAAGAAGGACATTTTATACCCTTGAAAAATGTACATCATGGACTTTTTAAGACCGCGATATGTTCACTCATAAAACATTACATCCGTAAATTTATCACTGTTGCTTGTAAGGCGTACAACTCAAATCACATCATTGTAAAATCAAATAAGTCATATACATCTTCTTAGCAGCATATATAAATTTGTGGTTTTCCTCAGAGAAAGTGTATGTGATTTGTAGTTTAGAAACCCTGAATACGAGTGCAGTGGCCGTTCGGGTTCAACATTCTTCAGGAATTTAGGTTTTTAAAACCAGAATATGCAATTTTCAAGCCTCAAATTTTTTGGCGGACGTAACTGAATACCAAAAGGGCTCAGGAAGACATGATTTTTACACATGCGCCCATAAAATATGCTTTATTATATGGGGGCGCCGAAAACCAATAGAAAAATCTGATACCACTCAAGTAAAAAGGCTTTTTCAAGCAGCTGGAAAGGACTTTGTTCAAAAGCCGGCATTCTGACGTGACTGAAATATCTGGTGATTATGCTGAGCGATCGTAAGTTGTACGACCCCACCTAAGTGGTACTTTCTAGCCAAAGCCACCTTTTAGATTTTTGGCTAAAACCTCACAAGTAAGCCCATCTACTGTACTGACACGGTAATAACCATTTTACTGTACAGGGGTACTTGCACCCAATAAGATGGAAAAGACTCAATTTGCATGGCCGACATTGACATAAGTTTCACAGTCATCAAGCCACAGCATATAATTAGTCCAAAATGGTTTCGGTAGTGAGTCCATGTGCTGTCGACCGCCGGTCTGCTGTCAGACATACATTATCTCTTCTACCTTATGAAAAGTCAAGCAAACTTCTGAAGTGATATGAAAAAGGCACTTAGGGGAGGTTGTGCATTTGATTATCGTGCAGCATAGTTCTAACGCATTTCAGCCATGCCAGCATCTCAGATTTGTATGTTTCTTTTTGGTGGCCCGCAAAATCCACATACTATATTCAATAGCTACTGGACTAGTAGTAATCACTCCCATTAAGCTTTGGCGCCTTTATAAATTACATTGTATTTTATAAGAAACATGCACAATAAGCCAGTTAATTTAGGTATTGTATGGCAGCCTGCCTCTTTTTATAGTTGTGTACTTCAAGAGAATTCTCATTTTCTTTCAAAGGGCACATATTTGTATCCATTTATACACCGTCGTATCTGCCAGAGGAGGTGTACAACTCATAGTTTGGTGACCTTAAGCGCAGGTGCAACTGTAGGCCGGGTTAAAAGCTAACGTGAGAATTGCGAAGTTTCTAAAGATTCAATAAACGCTTGCTCCAAGTAAAAATCTTACAGTAGATGTATTTACTTATGAAATGTTAACGGAAATTCTGAAATGCGTTTTCAACTCGAAACGATTAAATGGCTAAGGCTGCAAGAAAAATTAATATGCAGCATAATCCCTGGATATTCCAAACAAACTTCTTTCCAGCCGCCTGAAAAAACTACCTTCTACAAAAATGTCTATTTAATAAGTGGGCGATTTTTTCATTGACTTTCAATGCCCTTATAAATTCAGATATATTTTATAGAAAACAGGCAGAGAAATATCGATTCTTTTGCATATTAATAGAAAATTACGTGTTTTTTATATAGCATAATTGAACAAAAAGTACAATTTACTAAAGTTTGCAATATGGCTCAAATCCACTGCTACATTTTCATAAAAAAACATAGTTTCTTCTTGGTGGCTTTTAAAAATGTACTGCTTTTGCGTACACGAGAAATAACAGCTTAGAGTTTGGAAAACCTGAATGCTTCAACGGTAGATCGGGTTCGAAATTATTGAGGACTAAGAGCGTTTTTAAAACCAAATTATGCACTTGCTTGAAGTTTAAAAACTAAAGAAATAGTAATTTTCCACCGAACGAGTAAAGCAATAAATATTTTTATGTGGGCTTTCTATAAAACGTACGTGAATTTATAAGGAAGCCGAAAACCAATGAAACACTCACACCAATTAAGTAGCCTTTTTCAAAGAATGTCGTTTTTGCAGGTGACTGGAAAGAAGTTCGTCCAAAAACCAAAATTCCATAGTAAATGGAATATCCTTGGACTATGCTGCATAGTATTTAGTATTACAGCCCCACCTAAGTAATCGGTTCAAGTCGAAAATGCAATTTATAATTTCGCTTAACATTTCATGAATAGTATAGCTACTGTAATATGCTCCAGATTAAAAGAAGAAGGGGTGTTTACAGGGAGGAGTTTATTTGTGGTCCGACATTTCGAGTAGTTTATTCGTCTACCCATCTTCAGAGACTGGGAGGTCCTGTGCACAGCTCCCCTTATAATGGCGCCCTTTGTTCAATGCGTGATCCGCCAATGCCGCCTGTGTGGCTGCATCCAACCCGCATGTCACCGTGACCTGAATCACCCCGCCCTCGTCGGCCGCGGAGATGACGGACGGCCCCGATTGTCCCGCGCCGTGACTATCCCCCGCTAAGAAGGTTCGTAAAGTCAGATAGGGGGGAGGTAAATTGATGTGGCGGTTGACAGAGCGGTCGGTGGACATACAGGCTTCTTGCACTTGTCTTGCTGTGTGATCGCCGTCCCGGCCCACAATCTCAACGACGTCAACGTTTAAGATGTGTCCCATTTGCGCAGCATGGTTTGCTACCTCCGACTTTGGGTCCAACCTTCGCCCGACCAACTTATGTTCGTGCATTCGCGTTTGCAGCCGTCGACCGAGATGCGGATTTATCGGTAAAGTTCATGGCACTGCAGACGGCACAAGCCCAGGAAACCGAACAAACGACAGTACATAACCTATCGTCAAAACAACGTACTGTGACCCAAACAAAAGTCCTATAACGTGGATCTGGTTTTAACACAACTGACGTCGACCCGGTCGACTTTAGTGCTTATTTCGAATCAGTGCTTCGTCAGACCGGCGCAACAGACGAGGCAAAGGACCTCCTTCGACATCAAGTCTCCTCGCTTCTCATATCGCACCGGAAAACCCACAATCTGCTAAGAGAGGAACAAAAGGCCCTAAGAGAGCTGAAAGCGGACACCGAAATAGTTATTCTGCCTGCTGACAAAGGCCGGTAAACCGTTATCCTCGACAAGGTAGACTACCGACACAAAGCCCTCCTGCTGCTCAACGATCGAGAGTCCTACAAAGTCAGCGACGCCGCCAGTCTAAAGTCCCTAGTGGCAAAGGTTAATAGAATTCTTGCTCGACTAAAAAAGGACAAGGTCATCACCGTCAAAGACTGGTATATGGCAAAGCCCACAGAAACCGCTATGACGAGATTCTACGATCTCCCAAAAGTACACAAGCCAGATTTCCCCCTCCGTCCTATCGTCTCACTCCGAGGCACACCCACATACGGGCTTGCAAGCTGGCTATTTCATAAGCTAAGATTCCTAACTGCAGGCTCACAAGCATCGGTGCACTCAGCAGAACAATTCTTTGACAAAATAAGGGCAGTCACGATCGAATAGAATGGAAGGGTGGTGTCTTTTGACGTCGTCTCACTCTTCACGTCCATACCACAGGCCCTTGCGATCGAAACGCTCAGTGACCCACTAAGTCAAAATTACGACGAAGATGATGGCCAGCCCACAGCTCAGGATCTCACAGAACTCATGGGGCACTGCCTGAAGACATTTTTTACTTCGAAGGGACCACATGCGAGCAGATCAAGGGCTCTCCAATGGGTTCACCAATCTCCGGCCTCGTTGCCGAGGCGGTTCTACAAAAACTCGAGAGACGACTATTCGGGGAGTGCAAACCCAAGTTTTGGGCACGCTACGTTGATGACACCTTTGTGATAATCGACCAGGATAAAATCAACTACTATGCGGAAGTACTGAACTCAATCATTCCTGATGTAAAGTTCACGATGGGAGAGGAAGTAGTGGACAAACTTCCATTCTTGGATGTTCTCGTCTGCCGCCAACCAAATGGCGAACTAACGACGTCAGTCCACAGAAAGCCGACGAACACGCTACAAATGCTCAGCTACAACAGCAACCACCCGCTACAACACAAACGAAGCTGTGTCCGCACGCTGTACCGACGGGTGGAAACTCATTGCGTCACGCCAGCCGCCAAACTGGACGAGGCAAAGCGCCTCCAAGAACTCTTAGAGCCAGTGGCTATCCGCGCGCATTCATTGAACGGAACCGGAGGCAGCCAAAGAAACGGAACGAAGTGCATATTCAGTCAAACTCGTGGTGGAGCATTCCGTACATTAAAGGGGTCTCCGAAGCAGTGGCTCGATCACTCGCGCCACTCAGAATTGGTGTTGCCAACAGGCCTGACTCAAAAATCCGCCGGCAAGTGATGCGGCCAAAAGATCCGATCCCTAAGCAAGAGATGTCGGCTGTTGTCTACAGACATCAGTGCAGCTGTGAAAGGTGCAACTACGTTGAGGAAACCGGCCGACAGATGAAAACGCGAATGGACGAACATAAGGTGGCCATGTGAAGGTTGGACCCAAAGTCGGAGGTAGCAACCCATGCCGCGCAAATGGGACACATCTTCAACTTCGACGCCGTTGAGATTGTGGGCCGGGACGGCGATCACACAGCAAGACAAGTGCAAGAAGCCTGTATGTCCACCGACCGCTCTGTAAACCGCCACATCAATTTGCCTCCCCCCTATCTGACTTTACGAACCTTCTTAGCGGGGGACAGTCACGGCGTGGGACAATCGGGGCCGTCAGTCATCGCCGCGGTCGACGAGGGCGGGGGCGATTCAGGTCCCGGTGACATGCGGGTTGGATGCAGCCACACAGGCGGCATTGGCGAATCACGCATTGAACAAAGGGCGCCATTATAAGGGCAGCTGTGCACAGGACTTCCAAGTCCCTGAAGATGGGTAGACGAATAAACTACTCGAAATGTCGGACCTCAAATAAACTCCTCCCGGTGAACGCCCCTTCTTATTTCGATATGCCACCTGGGAATTGCATTTTACTATTATTGATGTGCGCCGAATTATTGCAACGAATGAAATTTTTGCGCATATAATCTAAAAATGTATTTGAGTTTATAATGACATGAAGGATTAATGCTGAACTTCAGGCTAATTAAGCTCCCCCCCCCCAACATTTAATTTTTAAGACGACAGTAAAGAAGCTCATTCAAATGCCTGGCATCCTAGCGTAACTGAATTATGTAGCAAAATTTTTGCATAACAATCAATATTACAACATCACCAAAGCGTTCCTTTCTTATCGGAACCGATTCAGAAATAAAGCTATGATTTCATCTGATAGCCAGCTAGTGTATATTGTGCTGCTTAGAATTGAAACTTGTGAACGTTTAGCCCCAACTTTACTGCCTAAGGCCTTTGCGTAAACTCAACAGATATGCAAAGCACCAAGTATCCAGTCTCCCAAAAAAGCAACCAAATCGACAAAATCCGAGTACAAAGCCCCTCCCTCAAAAATAATTACTGCTTCCTTTTCAAATGCAAACGTCAACTTTACATCGTTAAGATCGTAGATCCCTGGCGAGAATAACACAAGAAGGCATCTACAGCCGTCTGTTGTATTGGTCGCCGGCGAGCCTAACGACTATATCAAAGTACCGATGGCTTACGCGTCTCAAAGACAGCGCTTACCAGATGATCAGTCACATCGTGGTCTCAGATCTTGCGTGCCTACACCCACAATAACAAATACTCTGTGCATATTTTTAAGTTCCATCATAAGTCTGCAACGCCCATTGTTTTAAATTTAAATATATTTTGCTCTGGATGTTTTTAAGCATGCTTATTGACAGTTATTACTTGGAAATTTACATGGAGAATAAGTTTCTTTTACATTCCGTTCGGTTGATTCGCTGCCGCAGGAAAAACCTCGTTTTATGAGATTATTTCCCAGTCTCCTTTGGGTTCATTAAGTCGGCAAGCAAACAGCTTGTTAGAGTGATGCAGAATTTTGGCGTTCCATCTAATGTTTTAACTAAGATCACCACCCCCACTAATTGCTTGTTAGGCAGGCAAACACTCTCAGTCCTCAAGTACTTATTATTTCCATCATGACTTCGAGTTTTTGGTCTGAAGGGAAAATATTGTATTCTTTCGTCAGAATAATTTACCTACAAAAATGTTCAGGATTTGCTTGCGACTCACACACTTTCTGCATTACACTTTATTTGACATATTACGAAAGAATTAGCAGACGAAGTAAAAAGAAAAACAAAAGCACCAAAAGCTACAAACTAACCTTAAGACGAACAGATTAGACAACCAAACTTCGTCGTAAAAGAGGTCTTAACAGTGCTACTGACAACTCGAAACACATTCTCAGTGCTTTTGCAAAGAGTTCATATTGAGAAACTAGCGGAACATTTTTCGCTCGACTTTGAAATAGTCCTTTCATTATTATGTAGTGTAATTGCGAGGATATTAGCAATCAAAAACCTAGTCAAAATATCTAGAAATGAAAAAATACTCTTACTGACCTTGGTCTCGTTTGCAGCTTTGCATCTCTTCATACGGTAGGTCTTCGGATTATCCAGCGTTTAAGTAAACGGGACGTCTCCTAAAACGTCTCCGAAAACCAACTACGAAGATCGTCAGGCCTGCTTCATGAAACGCTAATGCTCCGCATACTCACTTCTGATTTTGACTGCTCTAAACTTTATTCAAGCTTCCAATGGCTATTTGCCATTTTAAATCTTACGCTTCTTGCATTCGAGTTACTGGAATTACGTTTCGGTTGTTTGAGATCAAAAATCTGTTCACCCCCTCCCTTTTAGTTTGTGAACATCCTGCAATTATGATAAGGTGGTAAAAAACTTTTATGTAGATCTTGAATTGCTTTTTCTGTGCATCGTTTCCACAAAGGCTTAATCAGCTTTGCAGCATGAATTAGTGCAAATCCGATCGCCACGAACACTAACCGCTTTTACGCACTACGTAACGAGCCCAGTAGTTTTACTAAATAGATAAACAAGAATGTCATTAAAATTTATAGGACCAAAATGTCCGCTGTTTGGTTTGCATAGTATGTAACATCAAACATTTCTTAGGGTATAAAGGCCAACCATTTCACCTGTCCAATTAAAAAAGCTGTTAGTTTAGTCGTAAACATCCATTTACTTACGTAGGAATATAAAACAGTTTAATTTAGAAGGGACGGTCCCTTTGCTTAGATTGGCTATGTGCAATACTGAAAAGCTTAGCCAAATACTTTCCCATCAAAATCAGTTCGTTCGCTGAGCCGTGTGACTTCCCACAGTTTTGGGAGTCGCCGAACATTCCAATTTAATTTAATTAGTCAAGTATTTTCCCCGCATATATCACATATCACTCAAAAAGCATTATTTACCAAATGCAACGTCAACAGAATTCGTATATATATACAGACGGGCTTGTGGTCGAGATATTGCCAAATGTAGTACAAATTAAGAGATTAAATAGGCGGATAGCATTTGCAAGATACAATATCATGAAACTTTCGAAGCGACCCAGTAATTCATTAGTTTTTCGAGGAGGAAGGGTAAAAATCGATCAAATAAAGTTTCTAAATATTTTGCATTTATTAATGTCTCAATTAGACAAAAGCTAAAGATACAGTTAATATGAAATCTGTTTTGAAATCTTTGAATTTCGTAAGTCTATCAAAACATCTGTTTAAGACGTGAAGCAGGTATTGTGGTGGGACTTTAAGAAACAAATTTGTTGCTAAACAGAAAAGGAGAATGATTGAGAATCCAGGTCATCGATGACCGCTATTTTGCCCGAAAAGGTCTTATTCCAATGTCGGCAATTGTAGTAAAGGATATAACTAACAATACTCGATAGAGAGCACAATAATAGGGACGCTATTTGATTTAAATCCTTTAAAAGTTATCCAATGGCAATAGCTAGAAAATCAGCTTGCGTTCCCAAAGTTAATTGTTCATGAGCTCTAGAATAATCCAGCTTTAAAATAACACGCAGGATATATATGGGAACTTTGATGTTTAATTGAAAACCTCCTTTGTCAAATCATTTTTAATCATGATGTCACTGAAATCAGTTAAACGTTGACGATTATCTCTATTTAATCACAAAATAAAGACAAAAGCGCCCACTACATTTCGAATGTACATACTTTCCACTTGTCACACGCAAATCGAAGTCTGCTTGTCCATTTTCGGATTATAGACGAGCCCATCGACGCAACCACCTTCAACGAGCAGAAGGAAATTAAGGTGTTTGTTTTCTGATTAGCCTTAGACCAGACTTATGTGAATTAAACGATTAGCATAACAAGGGAACGTGCTTTATTCAAGGGGAAATTTGGCTTTTGGATTTTGTGATCAGTAAATAATAAGCGGTAAAACAGCCTTATTTAAAACAAAAAATGGGTTTGTGCTGATACCCGCAAGAGTAGCGTTAACAGTGCTGTGGCAGGAAGAGCCCGTGAACTGTGCACAAGTTTCACAAATGAGTTCTAGTAAGATATGTGTGTGGTTTTAAATGAACCTAAAGTTTGAATTATACCGATAACAGTTATATGTGAACTTTTACATCAACTGCTAATAAGTTAGGAATGTGAAGGTTGAGCAGTCGCCCCACGGCTGTAAATACTGTTTACGTTGACCGCATGCAAACTGAGGCTGGGAACAGCGAGTACTGTGCCAATAACTTTCACCGCAGTTATGCCATGTCCGGAACCGAATGTTTAGATTCAACAGCCTTTTATAAGGGGTCACGCTGTGGAGGCTGTAGGGTCTACTGAAGGCTGGGCTATCGGGATTGTCTTAAATGACATTAGATACACCCCGCGTTCTGAAGGTTTGATGAACAGTTTGATAAGTAATTCGCAGACGCCTCTCTGGTCATTAACTTACTAGTCAGAGTCCAATTTATCCCTTCATGCACGGCAGACATGAGGATGAAATAAACATAGCGTTGAAATATCCAACAAGCGGCGATAAATATAAGGTTATCGAGAGATTGTTTGAAACATTGACGCAAGCTGTTAAACATGATTTTGAATGAGACTTAGATTGCATTAGTGACTAGTTTAGGTTGGAATCACAAGCTCATTTATAAGTGGTAGCTGACCCACTTTGAATCACTTACATGAATGCTCAAAACAAAGGTAAAAGGTGCACTGGCTTGCCTATAGTTACCTACTAGTATGCATGGCGTCGATTTAGAGCGACTGAAGCCGATACAGTCCTGTTTTTAAGTGTCTAGCCACTGGCTACCTAGCATATTTGAGAGCGGCAGGTAGTGGAAGCTGACTCAGCGACATGCCACCGAAATCCGGTGAATATTCATCCGCGGACCAATTATGGCCGAACTGCCAACGTGCGTGTAGCTAAAGCCTGGCCTATA